ATTGGCCAATTAATTTTAAATTACTTGAAAATATTAACTTGTAATTCTGTTATAAATTGGAAATATTGTTGTTGAAATTAGTCGAGCGCTTTTGCTATCCTTTTCATTCCGAATACTTGCTCTGTTTATTACAACGCCTGGGCGTACGATGCTGAACAATACAATCGCGTGTGATTGCTTATTATTAATATGCAGATAATTAAATAATTGGTTTAATGTTAATACGTGAATTTTTATGCAAATTGAGTATTGAGGTTTTAGTCTATTATATCAAGTACAAATGCGATTTGGACAAGACACCAAATGAACACATATATGTATATTTAACACATAATGATTACTTAAATTTATAACAAAGACAAGCAAGCAAAATAAAATAAATAAAGTACTAAACATATCGGAAATTCTGGCAGAAATTGAGAATAATCATTTTCTTTTGTCTCTCTGAAAACTCACTCTCTTTAAAAAACGTTTGAGGATACGATTTAAGGCCAGAAAATCAATTAATTTTTAATGTATGTGCAAGTAATATTTACATCTGGAATAGTGGGAAGGTTAACTACTATTTATGGAAAAAGCTAACAGTTAATAAGAATTTTCTTTGTTATAGCTACCTGACGATAAGAATTGTGAAGAAGATTTTTTAAGAAGAACGAACACCTGCAATGGGCGAGATCAGTGGATGACTTAAATTACAACAATGGTGAGTTTTTTCCAAAAATTAACATATTGTCTCTCTTTCTGTTTTTGTTTGTAACAGTATCTTCGACAAGAGCCATCCATGGCATTTTTGGTTTATCTGGAAAATTATTTAATAGTTTCAAAAAGATTTTCCATGCATAAAACATTTCTCTTTTCGATGGTAGAAACAGATTTTAATTTGGACTTTGCAGAAGGGTAGTACAGCTCTAAAAAGTGTCGTTTGTTTCTGCAGAAAACTATTCCATTTTCGAGGTTGTTGTAGCTTGTTTTTAATAATTTTTAAATATTCTAAAGCATTTTTTGTTGTTAAGAATATATTTTTTGGCTTTTGTTCGAGCGTAATTTTCTCTCTTTCTTTCACCGAATACTTGCTCTCTCTAACAGTCGTGTGCTTGAACGCTCGACCGACAGAACAAGACATTTCTGTTCGTTTTGGTATAAATAGCCATTAAAAATGTGTTTTGAAAATTAATGCGTCATCTTTGTGTGAATTAAACCTTTTTAAACTTGTATTACAAAAGGAATGTCTTAGTTTGTCTATTTGATGATATGTGGGGGCTGATTTCGGAAACTAACGAATCAAAGTTGATAGCTCTTTAATTGTTTGAAATCTACACAATTTTCGAGGTTGTTGTAGCTTATTTTTAATGTTTTTTTACTATTTTAAAGCATTTCTTGTTGTTTAGAATATATTTTTTGGCTTTTGTTCGAGCGTAATTTTCTCTCTTTCTTTCACCGAATACTTGCTTTCTTTAACAGTCGTATGCTTTCCATGCAAAAAACATTACCCTCTTCGGTGGTACAGAATTAAAGTCGACTTTTTCGCAGGCATTTTTGACTGATGTGGAAAATTATTTCAGTTTCAAGAAGGCGTTCCATGAATAAAACATTTCTCTTTTCGATGATAAAAACAGATCTTAATTTGGAAAAAATAAAATAACCTTAGTACAGCCCTGTAAAACGTCATCTGTATTTGTAGAAACAATAAAAATCGCGATTTTCGCAGGCATTTTTGATAGAGAAACTTAATTCGTAATTGGAAAAAGGCCTTCTATGCTCAAAATGTTATACTCTCCTTAATGATAGGAATGGATTTTAATTGGGACTTTTAATAAACTTAATACAGCCCTGTAAACTGCCGCCTGTCTTTGTAGAAACAACAAAAATTGAGATTTTCGCGCGGTCGCTTCAGGCTGATCTGGAAAATTATCTCGCAGCTTCACAAAGGTATTTGATGCACAAAACATTGCTCTTTTCGATGGTACAAACTGATTTTAATTCTAATTTTAAATAAATAAACTACAGCCCTGTAAAATGACGTCTGTTTTTGGAAAAACAACAAAAATTGGGATTTTCTCACCTGTGGGATGTGGAGATTTCATCTCGTATTTTGACAATGTTTTCCTTTGCAATGGAAAAAACTCGGACTTTAACTAAATCTTATTGTCGCTGTGGTTTTGCAGAAACAATAAGAATTTTAAAATCCGCGATATTTGTGTTGCTTTTACATCTGTAATTAATACTTTTAACAAGCATTACAACAAAAAAAAATCTGTTTTTTTAAATTTTTATTACCTATTGTTGTTTTATTGTTTATTATTTAAAAATCTGGCTCAACTTCGAGTAGTAGTTCAAAAGCTCTCCGTAATACGCTCACCGATTGCGCCACCAGTCTTTTGTTTTCTGCAAGAAACACTGTCTTCATTATAATTTAGTAGATCGCGAAGAGAAAATGCTGTGCGGGCAGTTACATTTATACTAACCTGTTTTCCGTGGAAATTAATCATGTTTGTGTGTGAAAAGTTCATAAGTTTCTACCGTGAAATCAAAATTGGGACATGGTGATGATTTAAATGTGATATACTCATTCAATTTCATTCGGTGAGTTTTACTATTTTCATATTTATCGTTTTTTAGTTCAATGGATTTTTTTTTCGGACTTGAGAATGCATTGAGTGCGGAAAATATCACTTCTCTAAGTGGGTAACAAATTATTTTAATTCGGAATTTAAATTATCAGAAATAGCTTTATAAAGTATCTGTATTTTTCCAAAAAGCTCAAGGGATTTGTTATCCTTTTTCCTCCGAATACTTGCCCTCTTTGAAACATTCTTTGAACGTATGACCTGCGGTAACAGAATTATGTGCGCTTGTTTTAATTTTGCAATGAAACATTTGTTTTAAACATTAATAAGTTGACTTTTGGATAAATTAAGTATATATATATACATATAT